CGAACCTAAAATGATTCAGAGAATTGAAACGAATTCGAAACCTTTTTTTCGTTCACGATACTCTTTTTGGTTCGGTATTGTACCAATTTTTTTTTTAGTGTAGAAAATATTTTCAGTTGATGTTAATTTCAAAACCTTTTCAGTTCGAATTCACTCTTTTACCAGATCAAATAATCTTCAAACACAAAGTCCTTGAAGATCGCATTTTCTCACTTAAACATGACTTTATAAGCCCAATATTTCTCCGACACACAAGTACAAAAACATCAATTGTACTTTATAAGAAAGGCGTTCATCCTAAACGAGTATGCGCATTATTCAAATAGAAGAGGAATACATGAAGCTAAGATCATGATCAAAAAGATGCTCAGTCAGAAACAAACAAAATAACGAACATCGGCAAATACAAGAAAACAATGTTTATTGTAGCATAGTCTGATCAAGAATCAACTATGTTAACAGCTAGAATTAAGCGAAACCCTAAAAGATTTTTACTACTAGTAAGCATTTGAGTCACTTAACGAAAAATAGTAATACAAAAAAGTATATTTCTTTCTCTTTAAAAAGGATTCGATGAAAACAAGGAAAAGTAAGAAATTAGTTATCAACACCCTTTGTTCAAGTTATAATAAAAGCTAACTACGTTCCAGAAACTAATCAAGAGAAGTCAGTCAGAATGCAAAACCATCAAAATGACACCAGAAAAATAATTGATCTATGAAATGCTACGAAGCGTGTCTTCTCAGTTTCGAATATAAATTCAAATACAAAATCATCTTGAGGCTCAAATTTTCGTTGTTTAAATTTTTAAAAAATTCACTGATAACAATTTCAATAAAACTTATAACCTTAATTTCACTTTTAACTAGCTACAATTTATTGAGATCACTAAGTATTGAGTTGCATTATTTCTATTCAATGGGCTGTAACTTGTAGAGTGCGCTAAACTATTGCTCTCTTCTTTTTCTTTTTAATTAACTGTAATCTATAGAGTTCATCAGACATAATTGTTATTATATATATTATGAACTTTTTTTAATTTGAACCGATCATTTAATTGTCATTATCATATGGAATCAAACATCGAATGGAGAAAAACTAATTGCGTTGCACAGCATTTATATACCAGAAAAATAAAAAATACAAGAAAAGCTGTTCAAAAATGGGCGAATTTGATATATAAGTGTTGGTGAGCGACTTCTCTTCACGAACAAATCCTATCCACTCACCTTACACTCACAATAAAATTTGAATTAACAGTATAAATTATGATAAAACCCTCTCTGAAAACTCTTCTTAGCTTAGCCGAAATCGCTGATCACTGCTCGTGCATTATAAGTACTAGTTTATTATTAACAAAAAAACAATCAACTAATCAATATGCATCCTAAATGTTTAGTTCTCTTTCACAAAACTCATCTTACATCTAAACGATAATACTAATTTATTTTAAGACATGTTGATATATGCATATAACTTTATCTGATATAACACCTGATAATTACTATTGATAGAAGAAGTATCATATCACTCCTTATAATCCGTACACTTTTCTGCATATCACCTCAAATCTAACTCAACCGAAAACTTCTTTGATTAAAAGCTCACGTTCTCTATATATTTAACCGGATCTATTCGGAAAAAAAACTTGTAAAACTGTCAACTTTAAATCAACCCAAAAATTTAGAACACATTTATTTTACTTAAAATTAATTTTCTTCATATTCGCAAATGATAAGTAGGCGCTGCAAAGTATTACATTTTGAAAATCATACATTGAGTTTTGATAGAGCTGAAACGCTAATTCTAGAAAGTAATTGGCTTAGAAGAGTGTTTTTGAAAAATTTTGTTTGCGCAAGAAACCTATGAAAAGTATTTCAGCCATCTGAAATTCAACCTAAAACTCTTTGAGCAAGTATTATCGTGCCCGATCGGCATTTTGTAGGCACTTGCAAGTTTTACAAACATTAACTCATGCAAATTAATTTGTTTTCTAAGGATTGTCTTAGATTGTACATCTTCTTTGATTATAAATCTTACTGATTTGCTAACAACCACTAACAACATATACAGAGAGTCGACTTAAGATTTTTCTTTGATAGTTTCCCGATGATAATTCATACTACGTTGAAACATCATTATATTGAGATTTCTTGAATTAAGAAATTTGCGGAAGTTGAGGAATTCTATATTCTTCAAATATTAGGACTAACTCATTGATCAAACTAGAGATTGGAACATTATCCCAGAGCAAACTTTTAGAACGCGTGATTTTTTAAAAAATTTGCTACTAATTTAAGTTTTCAAAACAGAATAGTGAAAATATTCGTGCAATGCATGTAAAAATCTATGAAACATAATGCTATTTACTTAGTAATGAAGAGGCAGAACCACGCTTTGGCCGTAATAAATAATTTAACGACGAATCAATGTTTGAGGCCTTTTGCATCGTTTTGCTACATCCTAAAATATAAAATAAAGAATGAAAATACGCAATCGTTTGTCAGAGCATGTTTTTCAAAACTACATTGAGTCATTATCTGAAAAATTTGTTCGAACATAACCGATGTACAAAAAAATTGATTTATGAACGTCAAATAATATTCAATAGAAAGCAAAATACTTTCAATCTTCTCTTCAGCGTCATCATTGTAAGTAGTAAGTGCTAAGAATCATTTTTAAAAGATGATACATCCTTATTGGAGTTTAACAATCTTTGAGGTTCTCATTCTATCTGCTTGTTTCCACCAACTAAACTTACGGGCGAAGTCGACTCTAATGCTGTTCTCTTGCTCAGCTTTTTATGGTACTTGTGATAGACAATTTTGAGAGATGTGAAGATAGCTTTTTGCATTCTATTGTTAAAAAAAATATGCTATGTTGACAACGTGGAAAAAGCTCTTTGATATATGGGAACGTCACTTTTCTTGTTTATTTTTTGTTGAGAATCAGCATCTTGTGCTATCGCTCTTAAGTAAGTACCTGATGACTACTCAGCAGTTTAAAAGTGATCAATATGGAAACTTTCATCCATCTTTGATCTAGAAACTAACACAACAAGATATTTCCAATGTTAATCCCATATAATACTTAGTTACTTAGCCTTTTTGAGTTTTCCTATACAATAAAGAATCTGAACAAGTAATCCGCAGTCGAAGTTGCTCAACTGACAGCGTGAGACAAGACTAATTCTTTCAAATATTGTTGAGGCAGCAGACTCATAAAAATGCACACAACTCACTTGCAAAAAACATCGTAGTACTGCTGAAATATCCAATTATTACAAAAATTTAAAGTGAAAATCAGTTAGTTCTAGATACTTTCTCTCTAAAAACTATGTTTTGATCACTGTAATATTTTTCATTCCTTATTTTAACTTTTATTGAAATGTATTTCACCAGTGGCAGAAAATAATTTTGGAAATATTTATCGCAATGACGTGATAAGCATTCTATGAAACGTTAAATGAACGCTTTTAAATGAGTGTCTGGACTTTATTTCTCTCAATCAGTAAGAGTCCAGCAATTAAAACTTCGCGTATAAGAAGATTTCGACCGTTACTCATTCTGAGAAAAACTTTAGGGTTGCATTAAACTATCCTTCTGAAAAACAAATCCGACTAATCTTCATTTTTGATCTAATTATGTTTTATTGGAAGATATATATTAAAACTACGCATCTTGCTCTATCTATCAAAAACACATTATCTTTTGAAATCTGTCTATTCAAATGCAATAGAGTCTGACATATTTCCAAGAACTTTTGCATCACTTGTCACAATTGGCTCAAATTGTGAATGTGTGTTGAATTATTGTCGTATCATGGACTTCTCTCAGCTATGCGTCATATGAGATCTTCTAGCAAGCTTCTGGTGAAAGAAATGAATTGATCTTACAATAATCGTTGAAAACGAACTCAGAATCGTGAACTTAAGAGAATATGTTTGAATGTACTAAGAATGCAGTGTTAAAAGAAAATCACTTGACTGTTGGTTATCTATTTTTAAGTTAATAGATCTTCGCAACTACAAAAATCATACATTCATATTGTTATTATGCTCTGGCCTTATTTATAGGAATCTTGTTGCAACATCGCTGTTTTTAAGTAAGGATTTCATCAAACGTAGTTTATATATTTCACTGTTCTACTGAAATATAGTCAGCAAAGAACAATATGAACATCAGTGTTTCGAGTACTTTTCTTAAGACATTTGGAAACATGGTTTGATTCAAAGAACAGTCTAAATTTGACAACTTTCTTAATCTGTAAACATGAATTTTTATATATCTTGCGTTCGACAGAACACTCGCAAATTAAACCTTCGATTAAATGGCTGATGAACACTTGAGAAATCTATATCGACATGTTTTGAAGTAAGATTGTCTTATGTTTTAGGACACTATCGAAAGAGCTCGAGAAGGAACTTCAACAATTGCCTGATAGATCTAACTATATATGAAATACCTCATAAATAAGTCAATAAAATGAAAAGAAAGGGTTTGAAATAATCGAAATTTCCTTTAACCCTTTAAGTGCCAGTGTGTCCGACAAGGCACACTTTTTTCAAACTTCATAAATTCTAAATAATTCACGAACACGAAACAATATCGAAGTGCGATTTTTCCTATGACATAGATGACGCTTCGATGCACACATCCATGTGAACATTGTAATACTAGTAAGGTCAATCGGGTAGAATATTTGATAAGTCTAGGAGATACCACCAATGCATCGCTTTTAGGGATTATACTTAAAACCAAAACATAGTTATATATGGATAAAATTGATTTTTAACGTTTCTGAAATCGTTTCGATAGAAATATCAATAGTACATAATAAGTGTCTTAAATATAAAGTTATAATGAAATTTTTTTCACTATCAGAGTAATGATACTTTAAGAGTTAAATAAGCTGAAGGCTTTTAATCGTCTTAAATGGGATCTTTCCGTAAAAGATTATTGATGCGCTTATCTGATCAGGATTTCTTTACTGTGCTATACGATTACGAAAAACTGAATCTCTTATTGCTTCTGTCCACTTATGCTAGTTTTCAACCTTATACAATAATGGCTCAACATACAGCCATATCTACCGTTTAGCTGAAGAGAGAGCTCACAAACCTATATTATTGTCCGTCACAGTAATTGCATTAAAACTTTCTAGAAGTATACAAAGCAATAAACCCATGGTCGCGATGCGAAACCCACATGAACGTAGACCAACCAACATTCCCGATTCCGAGAAGATCCATTTAGCGCACATGATTCTGAAATAAAAACATAAACAACATCCATCATTCATTACTCGGTGGCAGAAAGTGAAAGCAATATTACTGTTAAATTGTTAAGGTAAGCTCTTGGAATGGAAAATCGCTTTTCTACTACGATCCTAATCATTTTACCATTCATATAAACTATTAGTCACTTATATCTACTTAAAATATAAATAATGACGACTTCTATTTACTTTTAAATATAAAACTTTTTTTAATAATTTTCCGGCTGTCAGTTTATGTTCATCCTCAGTTTCATTTATGCGTACATGAAATTCTCGATATTTTAAATTTAAAATAAATATATAGAGTTTTGTGAAACACACATAAATTCTCTCGAAGAAAATCATGAGTATAAGTTTTGAACCGAACCCTAGTAGTATGCCTCATAGACTGAGCAGTAAGCAAGTCAGCAGAAAAGAAAAATTTTTCCGGTGTTTTTGAAAAAAGTTCTTGGAGCAATAGGTTTTTTGGATAACAAGTAAATGTGAGCTTTCTAGCATGCCTATACATTCTCATATGAGAAACTATTCAACTTTTTTCTCATATCACACGTTTGACAAAATTAGAGCTTAGGTAAAAAAAAAAGCATCGTCCCTACCTGTCCACTGTGCCCTGTCTCTTTCCTGTCTCTGCATCACAGACCATAACAACCCAAGCGTCTATTACAGACAACCCGACATTACAGACCTTAGCAACTATTTTTAAATGCCAATGAGTATTCTACATAATGGAAAACATTTGAGTTCCACATTTTAGCTCCACAAGAGCTGAACTAAAAAACTATTTCTTGAAATTTACGTTAAAAACACTGTAACTCACGATTATATATATTTATTTTAGGCATAAGTTACCATTATTTATATGCAACATACATGTGAATAGTGATAACTCGTCTTCATTGTTAAATGTAAGTTATGAAAAAAAAAGTAATGTATATTTATTTTTAAATATAATTTTCTTTTGACAACATTAGTGGTGTCAATTTAATTTAATTTTAAATTCATTTTATGAAGAGATTACATTAGCAGTAGTGTAAATTTAACTTATATATATTTTTTCCAATAATTTATATTCACAAATCGAGTCGCTACCTAATTCTAGTTCGAATAAAAAAGAAGATTTCAAACAAAAAACCTCAGCATATAAGTGATCCGAGCCAAAGATTTCTTTAATTTACAGTTTCAGAAATGATAAATTAAGTTGAAATAATTTATATTTCAAATCTAAGATGAACATAAATTATAATAATTTCTTTTTTAAAAGGAAAATAAATTATTGTTATTTTGCTTATTTTTAGGTATAAATTCTGTAAAAAAAATCTGTTTAAAAATAATTATACTTCGAGCAATCCAAAAACAATGGCGTAGGTGCCTTATATTCACGTAGAAATCTTGAAGAAATTTTCTTTTTTTTTAGGTAGAGCATAGAAAAAACAGTGCTGTATTTTTCTGTACTCCTTCATCATACTTTAAATAATATCATAATACTAAAATTTCGATCAGAACTGTTTTTGTATAAAATTTGACTATAACATTAGATCATATTATCGCCATGTGTATTCTGTTTTTTTTCTCTTTCTTTCTCTGTTTTTGTTGTCTCTCCTAATGTCTAGCCATTAATACATATTAGAGTGTACAAAAAGTAATGGTGGTAGAGCAGAAAATAAATACAGAAACAAGTGCAGGAAGTTTTCATATCATCAGATGTTCAAAGTAATCACGTTGATTATTCACACACAACTCTATTCGTTAAATCCATTTATGAAAGGTTTTTCTAGCAATAGTGTTAAAGGTTAATCTAAGTATTTGTTGATTTTCATATCAATTCTTCGAAAAAAGTCAATTAAAAGTCTAATTAGAAAGAGTGGAATTATTGGAAAGAATGCAAAAAATTGAGTATTAGCCTAAAATATGAGCGTGTCGTATGGTTTAGTCTCAAGCAAAAGTTTTTATAAAACAATCACTGTAATAATATTGTTTTTAAAAAGTTTTTATGTTGGACTACACCATACTCTAGGCACATATTTTGGGGTAATACTCAGTTTTTCGCATTCTTTTGCAACGATGCCACTCTTCCAAATACAACTTCTAGTCAATTTTCTTCGACTAGTTGATATGTAAAATAAACTAACAGAAAAATGTCATACCCTATTTAGTATCAATAACTTAAGCTTATACCGATCGAGTCAAGTCAAAAACATGGTAACATATTTTGCTAGGCGTAAAAGCTTCCGATGAAATGTTCAAGACTATAGTTCAACGTAAAGATGTGATAGAACCATCGGAAAAGTTTATCACACCACAGCTTATCAGTTGATGGTATTGTAATATTCTGCAACGAGCTTCAGACCTAAGAAATTTAGTATATATGTTTGCATTTATAGCTCAAAAAGGAAGAGTACATCATACAAAACCAAAACGACAAACAAACATTTTCTTAGATTCGATGTCATTTGCACTCGTCTCACACACGATGATGTGATATTTTTCGTTTGTTGAATAAAGATAAATGAAATACCATCTAAGAAAATATTCTTTTTCGTTTCGTGTTCAAACGATTTGTTCTTGTTTCTTTTAGCTCTAACTGCAAATATACATAAGAAACTTCTCGAATCTGAAGCTCATTGCATAATACCAGAGTTTCATCAATTAATAAGCTACGCTATTGTAAACTTTGCCAATGATTCTATGACGTCTCTACGTTGATCCCCAGTTTAAAAATGCCATCAGAAACTTTCGATACTATCCTAGTATATTACTGAAATAGATTGCAATTTCAAAAAACATACACTTACTTGTTAAGTTCGTCCGAAATATTTTCTGTTAAACACCAGAATCGCACCTTTAATCTATCGATGTTGTTCGTTGAGTGAGAATAAAGGAGTATGCCGTCTGTATATATATATATATATATATCGTGAAATACGTCTGTATTTTTTTTAATGTAAACCCCCAGATTTGAATTAATAGAACACGAAATATAGATCACATATTGCATTTATTTTATACAAATATTACAATCATATTGCCTGCTCTGTGTCCCGTCGTTCACGTAGATTAATCGAATGCGATAAAGAGTCAGATGAATGTTCGCTAGAATGTGCTTATACTACGTATTAACTTATTTTTTTCTTTATAATCATTGTACAGAATCGACAAAATATTAAAATAGTACTGATGACCTTTGCTCGATCAAAAGTGCAATCATCGTTAAATCCTAATAATAAGAAAAAAAAGCAACAACAACAACAACAACAACGGAAAGAAGAAGAACAAAGAGAGAATATCGAAATAGATGGGAAAAATCAATGGTAACGACAACAGTAAAATAGTATCATCATAGAGTAATATCTTTCAACACTAGTATGTCTCACTATATTTTCAGATATTTTTTGACTTCCTGAAATATTATGAATTGATGGTTTTGCAGGATTCTTGAAATAAGAACATTTTTTTGAACAACTGGAAAATAAATTTTCATTATACAATGAAATTTCTTTTCTTTATTTTATTCTACGTTTAAAAGAAATAATGCAAAAAAAATAGAAGTAGTTAGAATTTGGTGAAAAAAATACATCAAGAACTACGATCAATAAAACTAAAAAGTAGGCAATTTTAAAAGGAATGAGAAAAAATTACAAAAAAGATCAATTTTTAATATTTTTAGTCGATTTTATTTGTATGATCGGATAGGTTACAACTGCTTCCTAAAATAAACAATAATAAACATAAGTAATGAGAATTATACAATAATTTAAATGATCGTAGATTACTAATATGATTTAATAACAGTCTTTTTGGAGTGTTTGTAACGTTTCTCAAGCAAACATTCCAATATGAAGACTGTTTATTCTCCTACAATAAAGAAAATACTACACATAGATTAATATAATGTATTACTTTCAGAAATATATTTTCTTGTTTGATAATTCACAAATTTGAATTATTCTGTACAGATAGATTTTAATGTTTGAACTATTTTTCACCAAATAAATCACAACCAATATTGATTTGGTTTTACGAATCAAATGTTCATAGAAAAAAATAATAAAAATAAATTCATATGTGGTTTTGAGATTATAGAAGCTAATTTAAACGAATTGTTCAAACTCAGCAATATTCCAACGTATCATTATAATCGATCAAAACAAAATACACTCTAGACTTACCAATCGGTTACTGATAGAGCTACATGAAGGTCAATGATTCTTTTGATTGACTTCATCTCTCGAACAATAAATTGATGACGTAAAGACGTAATATCCATTTTAACTTTGACTGAGCCATCATCATTATTTTTGTTATATTGATTAAAACATACATCGATGCGACTTGTTGACATAATTGTATCCAAAGACTCTTCTAATTGCTCTTTTTCTAAGTTAAATATTCATAAAAAGACATAAAAATCAGAGAATCAGAAACAGTAGTTTGATTTATATTTTAAGAATTACTTGCTCAATCTTGTTATATTTCAATTTTTGTCCGAATATACTTACTTATAACTTGAAAAAAACTTTATTATTTCTTAAAATCTTCAGTTTTTTCAAGGCCAACGATTGATTTGTTAATAACATTATCATCTGTATTAGTCGATAATAACTCTTTAATTGATAATAGACTTCAATGCTACAAAAATAAACCATCAGTTTTTTTTTCTAGACTTGATCAAAAAATAGGCTAAATAATAAAACAGTAAGTGATTCGCCGATAGCTTAATATTGTTCAACGTATTTATCCAAATCATTATCAGCCAACCATCTGGATACCTTTTCAATACTCCACTCCATATATTGTTTATCTAAAATAAAGTAGACAAATAGAAAAAAATGAAAACGATATTTTTACTTCTTCTGAAGTCTTCCTTAAGGGAATAATACGAAGGATTTGAAAACATGTTGAATAAGTATACC